AAGCCGGTCTATCACGGGCCCTACCCGAGCTCGCAGGAGATCTATGAGGAGAACCCTGAGGCTCTCGCTGACTTGGACGTAAATCCTGCCGCCTCCTCCGCTCACGCTTGAGCGCTCAGAGCATTGAGAAGTTTCAGCAAGACAACGATGGATGGAATACGTGAAGACGCGGAGACGGACCGAATGCAAGATCGAGAAAGGGTGAAGGGGAGGGGAAGGGGAGGGGAAGGGGATGGGGAGGGGAAGGGAGGGGAAGGTAGTGGAGGAGGTAGACATGTACAGAGGTGAGAGTGTTCGAATCTGCGAGGCGAGAAGACAGAGTCTTAAGCTTTCGCTTCAATTGAGTACAAAAGCATCGAAATCCGATTAGTTCAAACTATCTGAGAGTAGTAGGACAACAAAGAGAAAAATAAGGAAAATCGATATCTTGCTCAGTAGAGTGACATTTCGTCACGGAGTTCAAGAATCTCAATCTAGGGATATAAAGCGACGATGCTCTCGCCGCAAAGAGAACGACCAAAACTTACACACTTGCATGGGTCTCGTCCGATTTCTCCTCAGCCTCGCTTGCTTTCAACTCTCTCCTGCCACTTGCGTTGATTCCGTTTTCTTGCTCGCCAGCTGGGCGTCAAGCTTGCTCTTCCATTGATGGTTCGAGGTCACATACTCCTTGTACGACTCCGACATGTCGAAGGGACGCGGGCCGAGGAGGGCATTCACGTCGTCGTGGGTTAGCACCTCAGTCTGGAGGAGCCGCTCAGCGAGAAGATTCAGCTGCTCTCGTTTCTCGTTGATCAGATCCCTCGTCCTCTGGTAAGCGTTGAAGACGATCGCCCGCGCCTCCTCGTCGATCATCTGCGCAGTCGCCTCACTGTAGGGCTTCTTGAACTGGCTCCCCTCTCGATCTTGGTATGAGAGCGTCCCGATCTTGTCGTTCATCCCGTAGACAGTCACCTGCTGGTATGCGATCTTAGTCACTCTGTCAAGGTCGTCCGACGCGCCGGTTGTGATGCGTCCGAAGACAATCTCCTCAGCAACGCGCCCGCCGAGTGCCATGCACATCATGTCCAGCAGCTGCTCCTTGGAATAGAGCGCAGTCTCACGAGGGAGGAATTGGTTGTAGCCAAGAGCACCAGAACCCCGAGGAACGATGGAGACCTTCAAGAGCGGGTCCGCATACTCGAGGAACCAACCACAGATGGCATGACCTGCCTCGTGGTAAGCAACGCAGAGTCGTTCCTCCTTGGTCAGGATCTTGCTCTTCTTCTCGATGCCTCCGACCACTCTCTCCACAGCCGCCTCAAAGTCTGCGATGGTGACCTTCTCTTTGTTGCTTCGAGCTGCAATCAGTGCTGCCTCGTTGCAGACGTTGGCGATGTCAGCCCCCGCAAATCCGGGTGTCAGTGCCGCCATGCGCTTTGCGACTTCATCGATGTCGTCCGCAAGCTTCAGAGGTTTGAGATGAACGTGGTAAATCTCACACCTTCCCTTGATGTCCGGCTTGTCGATCGTGATCTGACGATCGAACCTTCCAGGTCTCAGCAGCGCAGGGTCAAGGATATCAGCACGGTTTGTGCCGGCCAGCACGACAATGCCGGTGAGCGGGTTGAAACCGTCCATCTCCACTAGCAGCTGGTTCAACGTATTCTCTCTCTCATCGTTGCCACCTGAGAATCCACCTTTTCCTCTTGCCCGACCAACAGCGTCGATCTCATCAATGAAGACGATACAAGGAGCGTTCATCCTGGCCTGGCTGAACAAGTCCCGCACACGAGAAGCTCCGACACCGACGAACATTTCGATGAAATCGGAGCCCGACATCGAGAAGAAAGGAACGTTGGCCTCCCCAGACATTGCCTTTGCCAGCAAGGTCTTGCCAGTTCCTGGCGGTCCACAAAGCAGCGCCCCTTTGGGAATCTTCGCCCCGAGGTTCTTGAACTTCTCCGGGTTCTTCAGGAATTCTACAAACTCCACGACCTCAACTTTTGCCTCACTCAGCCCTGCCACATCCTTGAAGGTGACTTTGTCCTTGGCGTCACCCTTGATGATCGTCGGACGAGCCTTGCCAACCTTGAAGATGTTTCCTGGCCCTCCGCCTCCGGACGCTCCGAATCCACTGCCCATCTGTCGCATGATGTACAACCAAGCGAAGATTAGGACCAGGGAGGGAGTGAACTTCAAGATTTCTAATCCCCAAGATGTCTCATTCGTGTACAGGATTGGAATAAAGTCCTTCTGCTCGAGGCCGAGGTCATACTGAGCCTGCTCCAGTTTGCGCTCAAAGCTATCAATGCTTCCAACGGTAAAGTAGTATGAAGAGGCATTCTGATCTGGGGAGTGGATGCTTTCCTTCATGAAGACGCGGACGATACGGCTGTTGACAACCTGTAGATGGTCAACCCTGCCATCCACAAGCAAACTCTTGAGAAATTCTTGGAAGTTGATTTCCCTTCCATCGCTTCGAGAGCCCATGATCATCAGAAGAAGGAACCCAAGTGCTACAATCGCGAGCAACTGTGGCATGTTGTCCTGGAAGAAGGGGTCTCCCGGTTCGGATGGCCGTTTGTTTGGTCCCCCTGAACCACTTGGTTTCTTCGATGACGAATCACTTCCATCCTGATCGTTCTTCGCCGGACCTTGATTCCCTTTGCGATAGAAGTTCTCAAATCCCTTGGGCACTTTCCCATCCGAGAGGAACGATCGGACATACTCAGGAAACGATCCCCCAAAGGCCCCGAGCATCGGGCCTGAAGGCCTGTACCGCTCCAGGATGCGGCCGAAATGCTCCATCATGGAAGAGGCATTGTTCGAGCGCAGTCTCAACACATCTCTTTGAATTCCTTGATATTCTCTGCTGCTGCACAAGTGTCGAGCACGTTGGAGGTCGTCCATTCGGTACGAGACCGCAGAGCAGGGCCTCACTCTCGCGCATTTCGCTGCAGCAACGAATAAGGAAGAGCATACAAGACCGGAGGCCTTACCTGCAAGGCCTTCTAAACGTCTTATCAGAGTTGCCGGCACGCCGCTTGGCCTTGACATTGGAACAACAAGCCCCTACCTGTCTCAGACTCAGCACTGACCCTCAATATGGACACCATGTCAAAACCACTGTCTCAATTCGCGCTTCACATCATTCAAATAATATGCAGGAAAAATGGAAGGGAGTTCACTGTGCAGTGATATATTTCGCAACCATCAACACGCTAGCGACACTACAAATGTCCCCCTTCATGGTTTCGCTTCATGCCTCACCCAACACAGCCTCCTCATGCACTGGACCTTTCTCATGCTCCCTCAAGAACCAGCAGCACCTACACCAACCATTCATTCTTCCTCCACTCTAGCATCGATTTAATATCCACTTCTCCTCTCTGCCCAGCATTGCCCTGCCCTGCCCTGCCCTGCCCACTCGAACTCCTTCCCGCCTTCCATTGACTCGCTATCTTAAGCGCAGCAGAGGCGCTTTATAAACAGCATTTTAAAAGCTTATAGGAGGTATCACCTCACCCCCCAATTTCATATCAAGTACCCGGTATTAGGACAGACTGTGTGGGTTATGGGTCACCATGTTCCTAGGACCAGCTATGCTGACTTAGGACCCCCTACATATATAAAGAAACTTTTTTTTGTGGTACAAATGTGTATTTTCGATGTTACAAATTATATTTAGATATATATGTTTGTTGGTACATCTCTAAAATCAAATTATCCTTATTCAGTAATAATTCTCTATAAGAAAGTCAAAAACTACTTATCATATACAGAAGGGATATGTCTGGGTGCTAACTTTTTGTATTTCTGTTACCAAATGTAAAACCAAGTTTTATCGTATAACAGTGACTTTTATCCTACCACCCTCATGGGTTATAAACTTCATTTGATTGAATAAAGGGGGGTTCAAGATGTCTGTTTTGCATTTAAAACATTTTCAAAGCCCTTTTAAAGAAAGTACCTGAGGATCCATTTTGATCTAAATTTGGTTTCATTTGAATTTTAAACTTTTTACAATATTGTAGTTTTTTATGGGCTGCTCATGTGAGCCTCAGTTAGTCGCCGAATGCCAGTGCCGCGACCGGCCCGGCCGCAACGCGGCACAAGGGCCCCGGCCCGCCGCGGGCCCGCGGAACTTCAGGGCAGCGGCGGAACTTCAATCAACGGGTGTCGGCGACCTCTGCTCACCGTGATGGAGGTGGCAGTTCTTGACTGACTGAGTGAACTCGGACCCGGCCGGTAACGGTCAGTTGAATCAGAGTCTTTCCGAAAAAAAACTTTCACTTGAAGAGCCTGGGTGACAACGGTACTGCCCAGCCGCTGCGGCAGGCCGCTTAGGCTAGTAGTACCCGGTGTGATGGGTGGCAGTGCCCGTCCGAGTCAGACGTCAGATCCGTGATCCGACTCTGGGACTCCGATGAATCGGAACTCAGTGAGGCTCTGCAAAGGCCCGAGAGAGCTCAACGGTCAGTGAGAGGATAAGGAGGAGAAACTTGACAATTCAATGATCCTAAGTAAGTTGACAGGAGTGTCGGATCTTATCTGCGCTACTTCCTGTAATTCTTCATCTGCGAAGCTGACGATTCAAGAACTTCCAGGCAGCAAAGAAAGAGGAGAAGCAGGAGGAGGGGCCGCGAGTCATACTGGAGGGGGAAGGGGAGCAGGTGAGGGAGGAAGGGGGGAAGGGAGGAGGGCAAGGCTGAGGAGGAGGTAGTACCTTGTTGTTGCCCTGGAAGAGACTCATAATCGTCTTCTGCGCCTCGACTCTTCCCTGCTCAGAGGAGTGACTGTCCTTGACATGTCGAGGGGGATGAGCTGCAACAGATGAAGGACTGCAAAGTGATGATGGAGGAGGAGGAAGAGGGAGGGGGGGGGGGGGGGGAGGGGGAAGGAGAAAGGCGGTGAAAAGAAGGTAGCAGACGTAAAGGCAGGAGGAGAGGCACGAGAGCAGCGACAGAGCTGAAGTTGCCGGGCTCTCACCTGAATACCGACGAGCAAGGCGACGAGGTAGGTGAAAACAAGGAGCGACATAAGGAGATCGAAGGAGAGAGGGCGGACCTGGAGGAGGGCAGCGTGAGGAGAACGTGAGGGTGGAAGATAAGAATAAAGGCAGGAAGATTTGCAAGAGGCGGTTGGGGATGTTCAGAGAAAAGGAGGTGAGGAGGGAAGGAGGGGGGAAGAGAGGCGGATGAGACGGAAGAAAGAG